CTAAGAAAAAACGATCGGCCGTTAAAATCATCTAAAAAGGAACGCCAAATTTCGAGATCCGCTTTTACCGATTTGGTAAGACGGATAAAATGATGCGCAGATTTTATTCCCTTCGTTAAATCGATCAGACGACGCAGAAAAGCCCGACCCGGGACAACGACTGAGCACGCAAAATTAAGTAAACCCGTCAATGATTGAATCTCGCGTAAAGTAACTTTTTTGCGTCGAAGAAAGGCTGAAACTAAAATTTTGCATTTCTCAGTTTTGTCCAGAGGCAAACGGGCCTCCATGCGTAAACTATCTAATTCAATGCCTGCGAACGAAAGGATATTTTCCGGACCGACTGTTTTCTCTGGCGCCATTGGTACGCCTAAGTAATCGCAGGGAGATAAGAAACGAGCAAGGTCAATGCGACATTGGTGATAAGTAGGCGCTGCCATAAGATAATCATCAAGAATGTGGATTAAATACGGGATTGACAAGTGTTTCTTAGCAACCCATTCGATAGCAGTGCTAAACATCTCAAAAGTACGACAGGATGACGCACATCCCATTGGCATAGCACGATCATAATAATACTGTCCCTGCCAAAAAATTCCTAAAAGATCGTAATCAGATGGTTTGATTGGGATAATGCGAAATGCACTCTTAATATCGGTTTTGGCAAGAAAACAACCAGAACCTAATTTTTTTATCATAGCAACCGCATCATCAACACGAGCATACTGTCAGTACGCATGCTCTTGTGCAATCCCATCATTAACCGAATCACCTCTGGGAAAAGACAAATGATGAATTAAGCGATATTCCCCCAGGGCTTTCTTAGGAACAACCCCCAAGGGTGAAACACGAAATTTGGGAAAAGGCGGGAAATCGAAAGGCCCGGCAAGTCGACCGGCTGCCAATTCTTTCGAGAGTTTAGCACTAACTATCTCAGGATTTTGTTGCGCAGAAATTAAATTATTTGCAAAAAATGAGGTTCGCGTTCCTTCAAAATGAAGAGAAAAACCAAACTTAAAACCAGTATACAAAATAGATGTCAATCCCGGATCATATCCACATAATAAAGGTTGAAGATTATCAATTCGAACCGGTGTTGGAAGGACGAGATTTGGCCGAGGTCGGGGCAGAGGTGTGCTGTGAGGAACGAAAATTACACCGTAGGGCTGGGTGAATTACACCACACTTGTAACAATTATGTTTATAATTGCAACCAGGGCAGTGATCGCCACGGTGAAACCTGCGACAAAACCCGCTGGGAACAAAGGGCCCGGCAATTGAAGAGGACAAGTTGTTGCGTACAGGCGGTTGAGATTTTGAAAAACGCGCATTATTAAAATTCTGTGCACGGATCCAAAGTTCCCAATGCGTAAACCCCCATGGCAACTCGGTCGGATTAGATTGACGCAAGAGACGAAATTGTGAGTCATAAAAGCGCCAGTCAGCCCCTCGCACGGCCAAATCCCGGACAACTTCACTATATTTCATCAATGCTGGGGCCTCCATTGGATATTTGGCAGTGTACACCCCTACAAAAATTTGAAAAGCCGAAGTCCATGCACCAATGTTAGCAATGGCTTTCGGCTTTTGGGACGGTTGCAAAGACAACGTCGGCAAAGCTGAACCGTTTTGGGAGCTCACAGACAAGTGATACCGGGTATCACCTGCCCCTGAGCTAATTAAAACACCAAAATCGACGAATTCGTGAGACCAAATCTTGGCCTTAACTTTTGCGCTCACATTCGCATCAATGGGTACATTGATGGAATTAAATTTAGGCAGACCCGGCTCTACAGGCGGTGAGACTTGGATAAAACTAGTCTCACCTGAAAGGTTATTTAAGGCAGACGCTACCGGCCCCTGCATAGTAGCGTCTGCAAAACTAGCTATACCTGACGCTACCATAGGCAATTCCCTCGTTTCCACAGCTGAAGATGGCGGCGGAAGAGTAGTGGCGCAGGCTCCATTGAGTGACGCTAGCACAGCTTGGGAGACGGCGGAGACGATCCGTTGAACCGTTTCGTTAGGAACAGTCGTCGCTGGCGATGCTGCATCAGGTGCTGACGTTGTGGCCACGGAGGAAGACGCCTCACAACTAACTCCACTTGACTCTGGTTGCTGCATAGTGGTGGCACTGGCGGTTGCTGTTCTTCTCCGAGAGGATGGACGACGTGGTGCTGCTGGTTGTGCACGACGTTGAACTCTTGTGCTAGGTCGAGTAGCAGGCATTCTGAAAGAAAAAACTAAAGACCGAAGACTTTGCTTAACAGGGGCCACATCAGGCCCTGGAATATTAGACAAGAGGAATTTTGGAAAATAACAGACGTCATATTGCACAACCATTTACATATTCATGCAACGGTGACAAATAAAACAACATATAAGCAGCAGAATAATCATGGCATACAGCGAAGGTAGCCGCAATTGATTATCCTTTAACGCCGCAAAAAATAATATACAAGGGCAATCTGAAAACAACATGCCGCACCGTCCCACAATATATTGACAACAACTGTAGGCATCTGAAAACAATAATTGCTCTATCCCACTTAGACATGCATTTTTTCCTTGACACAGGATCGGCAAGTCATATATACCTATAACTATAGAAAAGACATCTTATATACAACACAAGGAAACTACAAGAACACTCCACACACATGAAACAAAACAGATACATAAACTATTAAAGAAGCTGCGAATTGTACGTATATATAACCAGCGCAAATCATGAATATGTCCTGTGTAGAAAAAACCCAATGTTGAAGTCTCAACGTGGGCATCTGAAAACAATCATGTTGCTCTAGCCCATATAACATAAACATATAGTAGTGGTACATAAACGGCAACCACATACATAGGGGTAAAATATAAAAGAGTATATAATATAGTGCACCATAATTATCAAACAATTATGCAATAATAATGTCTGTACCAACGGCGTAAAATGAACACATATTGGAGCTAAGGACTATAACATGGTGAGAGCTTTCAAGATGGCCCCACGATAGCTACGGTATAAACAGTACTGTCCCTGTGCATTACAGTGCACACCATCTGAGGACAACAAGAGACGATCAGGGTGAGAAAACTCCCTATGTTCCCACACAAAAATGCCTTGTTCCTCAGCAAGGACAACAGACAGGTACTGGCGTAAAAGAGCGGCTTTGGTATTAAACGCATTATCAGGTGCCTGAGTGTGAGGCAGATTCCGATTAATCACTTGGCACACAGCAACAACGCAAACTTTATACTGATCGCGCAGAACGTGCACAAGATCATCGAGTTTCGACCCCACTACTTCAGGGGTGTGACCCGACAAATCGTTAGTGCCCATTTCGAGAATCACGATATCGGGCTTATACTTTTTGACCCATGAGAGATCATATTTAAGCACTTTATCTACGGTTCTGCCACCCGTACCCAACAAAGAAACATTGCCCGATTCGGGTAGATGAAAATTTGGGGCAGCGCGTAAATCAAAGTGCGCTTCCAGGTCGTCCCGTAAACGACGGACAAAGGAATGCCCGAGAAGTAAAATAGTTGGAACACACCTAGACATTACAACTTTCAGATATAAAATGAAAGAAAATTTACCTGATGGAAAAACTTGACTTTAAGATACAGACGACTTTGCGCTACCAAAGCGAAGAGCAGAATGAACCAGATGCGCATTCTGCTATAGATATGTATCACCTCTCCCTTCCGTTTTCCTGCACGCATTACATTCATGTGATCAGAAAATTACGGGGAAAATACCCATGTGTCCCATGTCAAGTTTGTCTATTTATATATCCTAAGCTCAGGAAGCAATAAAATCTTCATTGGTATGCCAATAATTCCTTTCAAATCATGCATTTCTTGTTTGTTTCAAGTATAAATGCCTATATATGCCATATAATAGACTTTTTATTAACCTTGCTTGCTCAGTACGTACATGCAGGAAAATATCGGACCTCCGTCTTTTTACACAAAAAAGACTTCAGTACAAAAGACTTCTGTCCGATATTTCTCTGTACAAACCTCGCGTTCGGGTAATAAGAAGTTAGTAATTAGACCTACACATGAGGAACTGACCCAATGTTAGTGTTTAGTGCTGTATTAAATTTGGAATATTGAAAGGCTCTCATGAATAAGCATACATCCGAACTAGCAGACGCAGAAATGTGATGTTTAGTAAATTTGATGTTTATAGTATGAGCGAGAATACTGGACATTGTAGAAACAGAACTTTCCTTTCCAGTCAACGACGAAACACCCATTATGTTCACATATACGCGCGTGTGTGTGTCGGAGGGTTTGACAAACATATACATATTCTCTTCTCAATCGCTTATTTGATTTTTGTAACGCTTTGTAATTTATGTATACCATACTCTTGTAAATAGGTTTAAGATGCTCTAAAGATGTTGTGTGGTATACAACGAAACGTCAGCAAATACATTTTATCCTTTATTGCCCATTGTTATTTCTTGTTTCAATTTAAAGTCATGCATATACTGGACTTTATTTATCTTAATATTTATCGACTATTTAAATTGTCTCAATTCGCTAAACGTTTTAAAATGTCCTTAAAACTAAACTACCTTTTTATATCGATAAACTTTGAGTTAGGAAAAAATGATTTCATATTCTCGCATCGTCGCATAAAAATAACTTTGCTTTCCTCTTTATTTGAAGTTTTAATATAATAAAAAAGGGTAATTAGCCTAATAAAAAATACACTGAAATTATATGCTGTCTTTTTTATTTAATATACACAACGATCAGTTTTTAAAGCAATTATAAAGCAAACAATACATCAGTATTTAAAACAAACTTACTTTTCATTAGGTTTACGATTTCCAACAATCTATTGCCCCAACGTTTTGTTTATATGAACAAATGAACTGTTTGGCTGCACGTTTCATTGACGATTTTTCGGATTTCTGAATAAAATTTTTCAGTCATTCAGTCTCTTGTAGCAAACGTTGGCGTCTTTCCTCGCTTCTTTTAGCAAG